TTCAAGGGCCCCCAACTTCCAAGCATAGGTAACACCCACCTACCTCCGTACCTTAGCAACTCTGCACCACCGTCCGTCGCCCCCGGTTCCATCCATGCATGTAGGTCGAGCAAGTCGTGTGCGGACTGGATGGACCAAGACCCAAGACGAAGAAGCTCCATGTTCAGCTCCCCTTCAAACCTCCCCCCCCCTCTTCTCTCCCGTGCCCCATCCCCGTGTCAGTGGATGCATCCAGTTTGCAGCGGCGCACCTGCCCTGAACTCCAAGGGTGTCGTCGTTGTCGTCCAGGCTCGTCCATGCTGGCGTGGGCGACCACACACCAAAAAAAACCTCCTACAAAGTTATTAGCTGCCCGCTTCCCGTCTTGTCCCTCGCCCCGGCTGTCAGCGGGTGCTCCATCATCAATCAACCTAATCAGCCTTACCGCGACGCTTGACCTGTCGGGTGTTTCTCTCTCTCTTTTCGGTTCTCCATCAATTCCTCCTCCTCCCTCTTCGTCATCTTCTCATCCTCATTCCTCATCCCTCTCCTCCCGCTATTAGCTTCCACATACCAATACCTTCCTCCCCCTCCCCACTCCCCCCGAGCCCGCTCGCTCGCTTCTGCTTCTTTCTACATAATCGAATCCTCCGTCCACCCTCATCCCTCACTTTATTGCTCCTCTTCGCCTCCTCCCTCTCTCTCCCTCACGACCGAGCGCCACCCCCAAACAGCCAACCCTGCTTCGCGCTAGATTTTCTGACCCCCAGTCTGCCTGGTTTTGCTGACGCCCACCGTTCTCCCTTCGTTTTTTAGCCCGCGCCATAGAGGATTCCTGGAGAACGTTCCTGTCGCATTTCGAAAAAAAAAAAAAAGAGTTTACACCTACTTCGTATATAATTCACGAACGGGAAACCAAAAAAAACCCCCGGCAAACCAACCACTCTGCGCCGACACTCGACCTCGACCTCGGTGTGTTGCTACCAGCCAACCATCGCACTCAAACCTCTGTGTGCCAGGCGCCCCGAATCCAACCATCGCATCCGCGATCCCCTCGCATCCCAAAACTCCGGAAACTCTCGCTCCTCCCCGCTTCGCCCCAACTCTCGACCGCATCATCGCGACCGTCTCTGCTGCACAGAGACCGCCCACGAACATGACGACTACCGTAAGTTGCTCCCCGTTTACTCCACGTGAGGTCCGATGGGGGATGCAAGCCTCCGGGTCGCGGAGATGCGAGCGCGCGGCCGTGTGTGTCAAAGACTGCGTCTTGCTAGCGCCGTCATGGCCCTTGGCCCGAGTCGCTCACCCGGCGCTCGGAACTTCGCCTAGACCTGGCAAACAGCTCAAAAAAGCTTGCCTCGCGCCTCGTTTCCCCTCCCCTTTCCTCCATCTGCCACCGTTCCTGCCACGACTGCTATCCTCCCTCCACCCATGGCTGCCACCTCGCTAACCTGCCACGTTCTACAGGCCCGGCCAGCAGGTCGGTACGGAAGCTTCCCCATGGCGAACGGTCAGAACGAGAAGCAAGCCCCCGGCGTCGCCCCCGGCTTCGGCGGCTCCAACCTCTATTCGCAGAACATCTGGAACCCGACGTATGGCGGCGCAGCGAAGAGAGACACAAGAGGTATGCGTCCCTCGGCCCTCGCCCCACCCCCTGACGATGCTCCGAAATGGAGGCTGACCTACTGACCAGCAGGCCCCGAAGACGCCTTCCCTGGACAGCCATCGGGCTCCAGCGCCCTCAGGGAGAACTCGGAGGCCGAGACCTGGGGCCAGAGTCCCTGGAACCAGGACACCCAGACCCGGACGGCCTCCGGCAGCGCCTCGCCCAACCGCACGCGCGACAGCCTGCACAGCACCACATCCTTCTTCGAGAATAACGCCGTCGGCCAGGGACGGAGCCTCATCAACGGCCGGCCAAAGTCGTACCTGGAGGAGGACAAGGAGAACACGGGCTTCGGGCCCAGCTACAACAGCCCCTTTGACGGCGCCTACGCGAGGCAGGAGAAGCGCGGGTCCAAGGACAATGCCTACCTGAGCCTTGGCGTGGTCGGTGCTCCCTCGAGAGACAGCAGCATTCCTCCCTCGCGCCAGTCGGACGACTCGCACCACTCGCCTCCTGCCTTCCGAGACACTTTTGGCTACGGCCACACGCCGAGCAACTCGATTGCCTCGTCCCGCCCGGCCATCCCCGGTCACTCCTCCTCCTTCCCCGCGCAGACCACCAACAACCGCGCGTTCATGGCCAACGGCAGGCAGATGGACGACGCCGACCTGGCCTCGCAGTTTAAAAAGTCCCTCACCCTCGACGAGGCCCAGAGCCTCGCTGCCAGTGCGCAGAACTTCCAGTTCAACCCCGTGACCCAGCCTTGGAGGGCCGACGTCGCAGGCGGTGACGTCTACGCCGACGCCATGGCCCAGTATCTCCCGCACAAGCGCGGCTCCGTCGCCGGCGCCTCCGGCCAGTACCGGGTCGTCACCAGCCCAAAGACATTTGCGCCCCAGCCGTCCGACCCGTGGGCCCAAAGGCAATCGTCCCGCGACCTGAGAATGGTCCCGGACGGTGACCGACGGACGCCCGTCCCGGCCTTCATGCAGGCGCAGGCCCCCGCCTTCTACCCCGGCCCCTACTACAGCCCCAACTTCGCCGGCCAGTACCCCCCTCAGATGTTCGACCCCTACGGCAGGCCCTCCCTGCCCCTGCCGGGCTACGGCCTGCACATGGCGCCCTACTCCATCCCGGGCGTCATGCCCGTCCGGCCCGCCAAGGATCAGGACCCGGGCAAGGGCGTCCGGAGCCTGCTCCTGGAGGAGTTCCGGTCCAGCTCCAAGTCGAACAAGCGGTACGAGCTCAAGGACATTTATGGCCACGTCGTCGAGTTCAGTGGCGACCAGCACGGATCGAGGTTCATCCAGCAGAAGCTCGAGACGGCCAACAGCGACGAGAAGGACCAGGTCTTCCGCGAGATCGAGCCCAACGCCATCCAGCTGATGAAGGACGTCTTTGGCAACTACGTCATCCAGAAGTTCTTTGAGCACGGCAACCAGGTCCAGAAGAAGGTGCTGGCGTCGCAGATGAAGGGCAAGGTCGTCGACCTGTCGATGCAGATGTACGCCTGCAGAGTCGTGCAAAAGGTGTGTAGCCTTCCCCCCCCAAAGGTCTCCCGACCCCGCTAACGTTGTAGGCCCTCGAACACGTCCTCGTCGAGCAGCAGGCGGAGCTGGTCAAGGAGCTGGAGCCCGAGATTCTCAAGGTCGTCAAGGACCAGAACGGCAACCACGTCGTGCAGAAGATCATTGAGCTTGTCCCGCGCCAGTACATCGACTTCGTCATGGACTCGTTCCGCGGCCAGGTCAGCCAGCTGGCGGCGCACATGTACGCCTGCCGCGTCATCCAGCGCATGCTCGAGTACGGCACGGAGCAGGACAAGGAGACTATCCTGGCCGAGCTCCACAACTCGACGCAGGTCCTCATCACCGACCAGTACGGCAACTACGTCGTGCAGCACATCATCGAGCACGGCAAGCCCGAGGACCGCTCGAGGATCATCCAGCTGGTCATTGCACAGCTCGTCACGCTGTCCAAGCACAAGTTCGCGTCCAACGTCGTCGAGAAGTGCATCCAGTACGGCTCCGCCGAGGAGCGCAAGGGCATCCGGGAGCAGATCATCTCCCAGAGCGCCGACGGCACCAGCTCGCTCCAGCTGATGATGAAGGACCAGTACGGCAACTACGTCATCCAGAAGCTGCTGAACCAGCTCGACGGCCCCGAACGCGAGGCCTTTGTCGAGGAGATGAGGCCCCAGTTCAACACCCTGCGCAAGACGAGCACCAGCCGCCAGCTGGCGGCCATCGACAGGCTCATCTACGCGACGCAGACGCCCCCGTCCAAGACCGGCGGCTCCCAGGCCGACTCGGCGGCCCCGACCCCGGTCCTGACGATGGAGCCCAACAGCCCGCAGAGCAGCAGCCCGCCCAGCACCAGCGCCAGCGCCGTCGGCGAGGTCGCCGAGGACGACAGCAAGGTCGGCGCCCCGGGCGGCGTCAGCCTCAAGGTCGAGGTGGACGAGGCCTGAACAGCACACGAAACTATGGGATGACGGCGTCTACGGTTGATTCGAGGTACTACGGACATGCATCACGACACCACACACGGATATGACGACTCCGGCCGTGGGGTGGTTCCCACGCGCCAGACTTGTTTCGAAACGATCACACCTAATTTCTGTTTACATTTGACTGGTCTGAATATGCAACAAAAAAATAACACATACATGGTGGGGCCACCACGGTAGAAAATTGTCTGGGCAAATAGTAGGGACAACATAGTAAGGGTGGACAAAACGGACATGATTGGTGTCGTTGCATGTTTTCTGGTTATCTTCCCGGGTAATGAGTCTGAGAGAGCGACTAGGGACCACGGGGGCAATGGCAGAAAAAAACTCGGAGAACCGGTGAATGGGAGGGGGACGCGAGATTCTCACGGTTTCACTAGGGGCATTCGGGACAAAACGCGTCACCGGGGCGAGGTTGATTTATTGTCTTCTTGTACTTTATTGGATTCTTTGTGCCTAGCGATACCAGTCTTAGTCTGATGGTAGACCTGTCAATAGACGTCAGTGTATGGAATTTCGGTGCGGAATGAGTGAACGAGATGAGTGAGACGAGGGAGCACTCGACATGTCACTGTCGCACGATCCAAGGGAGCAATGATGATTCGCCGCGGTGATCAGCCGTCGAGGGGGACGCTGGCATTCCGTCGCTGCCCTCGGCATCTGACCCGGCTCGGAAGGGCATCCGACCGCGCCCTGCTCGGGATCGGGATTAGGTAAGCGACAAGGGTCCACCCATGACATCACCCGGCCCGACACCCAGCGGCCGGTTCCTGCGTTTAGCCTCCGACCAGGTCCCCGTGCCCCACGTGTCAGGCATCGTGGAAATTAACGGGCACTTTCACTCCTCCCCTAAACGTTCCCTCCCGCAACAACACACCACCGCCGATGTAGCGCGACCGAACGATGCAGCCCGCACGATTGACCTTTCTCTACCCGCACCTGTTCCGGACGATACGCGTCGCCGAGGGCGCCGCCGCCGCCGCCGCGAGCGCCTCGAGACCGCAGCCATCATCATGCCGTAGGCGAGCGGCCGCCGAGGTTCGGCGAAGGGGGTACGCTGCGTTCGCCCCGACGCCGGGAGCGCAGCAGTCCGGGTTCGCGCCGCGGCACGGCAAGGGCATCGAGCCCGTGACGAGGGAGGACGGCAGCGTGAGGAACATGGCGCCGGCGCCGGACATGATGGAGACGAGCGCCGGACAGGCGGCGGTGGGGGCGTCCAAGGGGGACGCCGACGACGGGCTGGACCCGCAGAGCCCGACGACGGCAGCCGCGGCGCCGCCGCAGGCGACAACACCGGGGGAGGCGGACGAGGCGGACGAGGCCAAGGCCGCGAAGCAGGAGGCGAGGGACCAGGCCAAGAAGAGCGGGCCGCTCGAGGCGATCCTGCACATGGGCCCGCCCGAGGAGGTCGCCAAGCAGCACCCGCACATGGCGCCGCCGCCGTACGTGCACCACTTTGACAGCTACTCGCTCGTCAAGGACCTCGAGAGCGGCGGGTACAGCAAGGAGCAGGCCATTACGCTGATGAAGGCGATCCGCGCCATCCTTGCGCAGAACCTGGACGTCGCGCAGGAGAGCCTCGTCAGCAAGAGCGACGTCGAGAACGTGCGTAGCAACCGTGGAGGGGGGGGGCCTTGGAGGACCGTGGACTATGCTAACCGCCAACAGGAGACGTACCTCTTCCGGGCCGCGTGCTCGGAGCTGAGCACCGAGGTCAAGAACAACCAGAAGCTGGCGGACGAGGAGATGCGGCAGAAGCGGACGCTGCTGCAGCACGAGGTGGACATTCTGACGCAGAGCCTCACCCAGGAGCTGCTGACGCTCAACGACAACGTCCGGGGCATGTTCAACGACCGCCGGATGGCGGTGAGGGAGGAGCAAAAGGCCGGCGACAGCGTGGTGAGTGATGACTCGGTCCTGGTCGCGGTGGCAGTACTGACTCCGCGGGCAGATCCAGCAAATCAACTACAAAATCAGCCTGCACCTCAGCAGCGACGCCAAGTCCGAGATCGAGGGCCTGCGGTGGATCCTGATCCGGCGGTCCGTCATCGGCATCCTGTTCATGGCGGTGCTGACGCTCGGCACGCTGCGGTACGGCACGTACGTCAGCCACGCCAAGCAGGCCGAGGCCGACAAGATCCAGAAGCAGGCCGAGATGCTCAAGATGGCCGACGGGAAGCGGGACCACAGCTCCGCGCCGGACGCGGCGGAGATTCTGGCGGCGAACTGAGGGGGCGGGTACTGGGTGTGAGAAGAAGGTTCGCGAGAGGGACCCGTGGAGAGAGCAGGTCGTCACGTGTTGCTGGGATGATGATACCCATAGATACAGGTTCTGGGACTGGGATAGACTACGGCACTCGAGAATTGTTTCCTTGTTTACTTATATCGCGGTGCATGCGTGGAGTGGATGCGCCTCCGATGACGGCGTGTCAGCGTCGCGGCTTTGTGCGTCGTGGCGTTTCGGAGGAGTCCAAACATTTGAATGCTACAAGCTGCGCGACGCCGGGTTTCGTATGGTTTCTCGATACCTGACACGGAGAGGGGCTGCGGCCGAAGACGTGCCGTCGTCGAATCCCTAACGTGCATCACTGCGAAAGCTCTTTGGCTTGGATCAGAATATCCTTACGTACGGCATGCTCTCCGGCACTACGAATTCTTATCGGTATCGGACAGATTCGTTACAACTCCATTTCCCCACTATATTCCGTTCGAGCGACAGTTCGACATTTCTGGTGTTGTTTTGGTAGGGGTCACCCACGGATCGAGCCGTCCCGTAAACACTATTGAACAAGGTCCGTTCCGGTAGCAAGGTACGAACACGTCGTCTGTACTAGCAAGCCATATGATACGGCAACCTTTTCTCGAGAATAGACTGAAGGCGCTTGATCCCAAGGTGGCAGATGCACCGCGAATGGCCCCCGACATCGTGGTGCATTGGCCGTCCGCAGCGACACCACGGCCGCCAGCTTCATCAGCTCCCCCAGTGAGTGACAACACAAAACAAAAACATACAACACCAGGTATTCGCTGATCGTCACCGACTCAACTACTAATCCGGCCCTCACTGGCTTATCTATGGGAGAGCGGACGGGATCCCGAGTTTTCCAGTGGGTATGGTCGTATGTGGTATACATTGGAGTTAACGGCAGCTATATCAGCTTGGTGGGCGACGATGAGAAGTACTACGATCCACCTTGGTGGGGATTACTACAGACGTATGTTAGGGAAACAGAAACAGGAATGCTGAAGGTGTCGAAGGCTCTAGAACCGTAAACTTGGGAACATAACCAGCGTCTTGTTGTCATGAACTACTCTGTCATCGATCCCAGGAGCGCATTCCTTGTCATTGAGCTGCCAAACCATACCGAAAGGCGGTCTTGTCCAGCCTTCGTTTCCCTTGGACTGCCGCCCCTCTATTGGTGCGGCCGCATTCGTCGCCCTCGCATTGATTGCTGAGCCGGAAATCATGTAAGGCGCAATCGAATGAGGCGTACGAGTGGCCCTTGAACGGCTATACAGGGGTTTCTTCTGCAATATCGCAGACTGCCATGGTCTTGGCCGCCTTTTTTGCTCCCGTGCGGACCAGAGCATGAAAGAGCAGACGAAAGACGCCTGAAAGTGCAGGTGTGCACACCACCAGCCCCCCTAAGGCAGACCTTTCCCCTGATAGACGGCTACAAGGCGGTCATACTGACCCGCGGTGCGCACCAGTCGACCAACATGATGGTACGCCCGATCAGTGACAGGCGGTTCATGGTAAACTTACCCCTTCTGTGGTCATGTCGCCTAGTGAGAAAGCCGTCTCGCTGCATTGCCGCTCCCGCATGGCAGGAATACTTCGCCAACGCACCACCCTTTCCAATCCCATTTTACGCCCCCTTTCCTTGTTCTCCTTTCCAGCAGTAGCCATGGTTACGGACCAACACACTCATCATATCCTCGTCAGAAATCGCTGTAGGTTCTTTGGGCTCTTCCGTGAGTGACCTGAAGTCAAGTGAGGGAGGGATATCACAGAAACAGTCAGAGTGTGAATAGGCGAGGTTTCAGTACGTGAAGAGGTAAATTTTACACCAAAGCTCAAATGATTGTGTCCCAACCCTCTTCGTAGACCGTTTGGAGGAACAAGTGACACGATTTTGCGTTCTCAAAGTAGCTATATCATCGCAGTAGTTATTTCACGGCAGTCTTTCAGGTGAAGCAATAAGAGTAGAGAATGTCATATTGGTAAACTGCATCCGTCGCACGCTAAACCCAGTTGTATCTTTCCTTCGTCAAGCGCTGCAATTTTAGGACTCCTGTTTTCCCAAGTTTGCCCAAAGAGACCCTGTCCTGAAGTATCGTCACCTCCTCTTCTACCGTTACGCTGTATGTATTGTCGTCTGAATGCCGTCTCGGTAGGCATATTAATTTGAGCCACCGCTGGAGCTAGGCGGCCAACACATAGATGATTCCATGGTTCGAGCCATTGACGATGATCCATTGGTTTCGACTGTCTCGGGGTGCCTCGCCTTCGCGTGGATCGGCCTCAGGGGTACCGGCGGTGTTTGATCCGGCATCGTTTTTATGCTCGCAGTGGTCACAATTCGCTCGGTGCTTGTCAAGAAACCAGTCGGTGTTTATGGTGTACTCTCCACATGGCATCTCCTCAGCAGTCTTTCTGTGGACGTTGACGATGTGATCACGAACATCGGCGGCTGATACAAATGACCGCTGGCAGTTGGCCATTGGACACGTGCGATTCGGGGTTTGCGTAGGCATCGTAGTCGTGGAGGTAACCAAGACTTATTTGCAAGGAAGATAGGCCGTAATTTTTTATGCAATGAAGTAGGGTTGATGACGAGTGCTAATGAAAAGTTCCGTCGAGGAGGTCCCAAGGAGAAGAGGGGGCGCTTTTATATGTCGTCCTGCCCGTGATAGACACTGAGAGATCCACCGAACAGCGTTACTACTGGCGAATTATTAAAGTCATGTTGGCAAATGGTCATGGATGGCTACGTTCCCCGACCGATGTCAAGACTCCACCACACGGTCGCCAGATTAATCCGACTCCCCCGTCTTCCCTGCACCCTATCAAGCTTCGCGGGTCTTTGAGCTGCAGATGCACCAGGCCCCTGCCGCGGATGCCTTTAAGTACTGCCGCCTGAGTTGGGCAAAAAAGACTAAAACTGCGGCACACTCAAAGTCTCTGTCATGTATGAGGAGGTGATCGGTGTAACGCCGAGGCCCCATATGCCTCCAGGGCCCTCGCGGGGCGGAAGTGCCCTACCGACCGCATCCAAAGCTGTCAGAACGTGCGCTTGTTAAGGGGCAAATCGATTCGGCGGGGAGCCAGGTCCGCCACAGCTCGATGTGGCAGACCGTCTAGTTAGACGCAAGTAAATGGAAAGACGGTGACTAATTTGTCCATAAGATGGACCCGAACTCAGGAGCGTTCTCCCTGCCAGCCTCAGCGTCCTGCCCGCCGCGGCATCACGAAATTCAAGCACGAGTTTTCTCTCTTCACTTCCTGGCTGTGTGTTGTGGGATACTTCTCGCGCCATGCCGTCCATCGCCCGGGAAACCAGCGTCTTGTGTGTGCAAGAAGCAGCTTATCTTTAGTGGGACAACCAAGCTGAGGATAAATGCACATCCGTGTCACACGTGCAGTGGCCCTGGTCCTATCAAACTGGGAGGAGACTCGAGTTCGCGACGCAACAACGGCAAGTATAACGCGACAGCGCGTTCCGGACGCGTTGCCGCGCCAAAAATGGTGTCTGCTCTTCCATCATCGAGGACTGTCAGTGCCATGCAGATGCGCGTCGTCGGGAAGTTTAGAGCTCCGCTCTGACTATCAACGCACTTGGCACGAAATTGAAGGAACAAGATCGAATATTTTGTGTGTTTGGTCCCGACGAAGGGGCAGACCCTGACCGGGAGAGCCGCCATTCGTTCCGCGATGTCTCTCTCGTTGCTTCATGTATGGCGCCCTCCCGTCTGGTAGGGCGCCATGCCTCTGTCATCAGCGCGGGTTTGCAGTAGGTGCGTAAAGATGACGCCGTGCCGCCCGTCCATGCACCATTAGGAGGACTTTCTTTTCATGATACACTGGATATTTCGCACACGATCTACGAAGGACGTCACACTTGTCATCAGGTTCTGCCCTTCTCAAAAATATTGTCGTGATTCGTGAAGTCTGAAGGGCTTACAATACCCATGTTCGTCCTACATAGCTTAAAGCTGATTCGACACACAGACGGGGGAAAGCAACGAGCATCAGAAGCCTGCATATAATCCCTGAAAGCGTGGCGTTCATCTGCCTCACTTTGGGATCGTAGTATCTTTCTACTCTACTTATGTACCTTTCCACCTTCCCATCTTCCCATCTTCCCATCTCCCTGCTGTACATCTTCCCGTTTCCTTGTTGTTTGTATCGCTTCTTCATGACCCGAAATTGCGAACTGCAGCCCCAGTTTTGCACCGGTATGGGGCCATTCTATCAAACTATACCGATATAGTCGCAGCATCAATGTGTGATGTATCCCAAGTCGAGTTGGTCGTGTTAGCAGCACTGCTGAAGACATGCTTGGTCTGCCAACCCTCTGCTACTCTATACTCTAATAATCCAGTCGAAGGTACTTGCTGCTCCGTGTTGCGGCTCAAAGTACACTGGAAAAAGCTTTGCTTCATCGCCAACGTACTGAACACCACGAATCATCATTTCCAGTCCACCGATAGCCAAAGACTCTATCAACTAAATCTCGTCAGATTGTCGCAAGGATGCTGAATGATTCTCAGACAAGGCCCCGGGAAGAATGGCAACCGCGACTTGCTTCCACTTCTTCAGACCTACCAAAGCAGCTACGGAGGCGGTATGGAGGAACGAATCTGGGATCTACTCTCCAACTGAGACTCCCCACGCGTGTTTTCATCAACAGCCAACTAACTAAACTCTTACTGTCGTTGACGAACTCATGGCTTGAGGCTGTTCCGGTTTTGTTTAACATTAAACTTAATGCACCATTTGTAGGCCCTGGGTTGTGCTGGTTATCCCACACGGTTCCCCTGAATGCCATGCTCAAAGTTTGGGAACTTCAGCATCTGTAGGTGTCAATTCAACGCCAACCTTTCTCGATGGAGTGAAAGAGCGAGGGGCGTTTCAGCTTGAAATCAAACGTTATACTCGTATGCGTAGATAGATCTAGCGCTGTAGGCTCCAAAAAGCTCAGCTTGGAGTTGCGTTCGGGTTCTCAACTTAAGTGGGGGCCATCAACATCGCGAGCGAATGCCCCATACACACCACGATAGACGTCAAGTGATGAAGAAAATCATGATTTGCTGTCCTATCGCGAGCACTCTGATTTTTGAAAATGCCTAAACTGTCTACCATGTACATCAAGTCAACACTGGTCTAGCACCCCGGCAGAATCTGTCATACGCCCAGGCCTGCTCGATCTCATGAGCCAATCTCCACTTAGATCCATGGAACTTGTGCGACCCCGCTGGGATGACAGCAGGCGACAGCGGGTATGGCGGGGTAGTCCATGCAATTCGACGAGCAGGGTACTAGCGAGTGAAGTTTATTTGGACGTCTGTCCGAAGACTTTGCACGTGAGTGCTCTGCATCTGTTTTGACTTCGATTTCGTCCCCGAGTCCCTGGGCAGAACCGTGACTACCTCCACAACAAGATTGGAAACATGCCGGGGTTCTTGCACTTAGCAATACTCTTCCAGGGGGTCAAGAAAATATCGCAAAAATGACAGTCGGCGTCCAGGAGAGAGACAGCGCTCAGTATTTATACCAGGATCCCAATGGCGTGAGTCTCATTTGGGAGACTTGTGTTAGAAACGTTCTGCAATTAGGTGCCGATGCCCATGTTCCGACCGGTAGTCATAAGGAATCCAACAGCAGCGTTACGGGCGTGCAGTGGCGAGGTGCTGGTTGGTTCCAAAAAGGCAGTCCCATCCTTTGGGGGAGATAACTGACCACGATCACCCCCGATGCCATCTCTGAGTCGGGACATGATGAAGACTGATTGCGTGGCCGTGAAGGGAACCTCAGGATGAGATAAGATGCTGAACTTCGATACCCGAGATCGTCGGGATGAAGGCGCTCCCAACGTCTTTAAAATAGCAAGTTGAGGCCTAGAGATGCTGTACCACGCAGGGAAGCGCAGGTCGTAGGGTGTGCTGCCTGTACAACATTTATGCATTTAAGCAGCTAGGGTAATGCACTCGATATTGGCTTTTACGGGGTCCTGCTCACTTATAGATAGGCGTGCTTGCCTATCCAGGCATTGCCCTTGGTGCTAGCTGTTACGGGGTCCTGCCTATACAGAGACAAGCGTGTTTAAGAGCCTCGACCAGGAGGGTGTCGGTGGTGTGGGGCCTGTCACGGTCCGTTCCTTCCTCGCATTAGTTTTTATAGGTAAAATAATTAGGTTTAGCCTTTACTGGGCCCAGCTCATGCAATAGCAACTGGGATTAAGCTCTACCTAAACCCATATTAACTACGCTGGGTCGGAATCCCTCACGCCAACCTGCCTGGTGGGCGGAGGTCATTCCAAAGCTGCCATAGGCAAGCGCGTCCTAAGTGACGTGGGACCCCAAGGCGGCCAGTCCGCTATACAGGGCACAATGCTATTCCGGGCGCGACTCGATGCAGTTCATGGAACCCATTGTCAACCACCCTTGGCCACGCGTCCATCCCAGGTTGCTACTTAACCCGAGTAAAATGCAGCAAGCCCTCGAGGGAGTATGTGGAGCTCGGTTTTAACCGCCCTGATCATTCGTCCAGGTCACAGACCTCTTCGTCCAGACAGAGGGCTTTACGCCACCGAGCCACATACATATGATGGCTTCAAGACAGGCCGTACTGTGTGACAAAAGATAAAGTCTTCCCTTATCAATCTTTGCCTCTGATACCCTTGCATGAGGCCCAGCGGGGACCGTAAGGTAGGTGGCAGTTTGCAATTTTGCAAAGGGCACAGGTCATACATCACAAGAGCCACATATCTCACGTTATCTAACATCGTGTTTGGTCACACATTCTTTATTGGGACCGATCTCTTACTTAACGAAGCCTCGATTAATCCGAGCCTTCACCATATCCTTCTCAAGGCGTCGGTTAGTCCAAGCCTGTGCCGTATCCTCTTGAATAACTCGATTGATCCGAGCTTTCACCCCAACATCCTGCCCGAGGCCTCGGTTGATCCGAGCCTACACCAAGTTCAGTTTCGCCTTAATCTAACCTTGCATCGTCGAAGACAGATCGTCAAGGTTGATTTTGTCCATAACTTCCCGGCACCAGTCGTCGGCTTCCTTGGCATGATTTCCCACCTCATTGTCGTCATTGTTGGTGGGCCGTGCCTGATGGCTGGCGAGTCTCGTCTCTCCCGGGGAGAGCATCATGACATTTCTTTGGGTCTGGTCCAGTTCTCGTCGTTTAGATAGATGTCTGTTATGCTCATCCACCTCACCGTCTTCATGTGCTCGCTTTCCTGGATTCTTGACGGAACCGCCGAGAAGCTGGGATCGCTCCTCTCTGGCCGCACGAAGGATGTCATCCGTGTTATCATGGTCGGTGCCTTTCTTCCCTTTAGTCACATCCTCTTCTTTTTCTATGGCTTTGCGGTAGTTCGCGGCATAGGCCCATCTCTCATTCCTGTAGTAGTCGGCCATCCAAATATCGATGCGGGACTGCTTGGTGGCCAACGAACGGCAGTACGCTCTAAGCGCCCACCATGACGATAGATACAGCGGCACTTCTTCCAGACGGGCCTTGCTCTTGCTACTCTTGAAGATGATTACAAGGAAGCAGGCATTGTGATGGGTGGTCCAGACAATACGGAGTCTGTTGTCGAGGAATCTGTTGGCACCGGCGACGATGGAGGTGTCTCGGAATGTCGTCATTTGCGCCGCGTGGTCGACAGTGCTAGGCACTCTCACTTCAAAGGCAGATCCGTCAGGGTCGCGCGCAATCGCGGAAAACTTGCAATACTAAAACAAATCCTCTCGCTCCTGTCTGCTTGCCTCCACCAATGCATCGATGTTGCTGGGTTGAGGGTTGGACTCTTGAACGGTAGCGGAGGCCCTGGCCTGAACAGGTGCCTTGGTGTCTTTGTTCGGCTGCAAAGGAGCGGTACCGGTTTTGGAACAATGAGTTGCCTGCTTCGAGCTGCTCGAAGACGCACCTGCGTTGGCCGCAGGGACGGGATCCTTGGAGGGCCCTGCCTTGATGGCAGGGACGGTAGGGCTGGAGGCTTCTGCCTTGAGAGCAGATTGGGGGACCCTGTGCTTGTTGGCCTCATAAAAGTCGGGGTGGTTAAGACACAGCCATTTAAGATAACCCTGGTCGACATCGGTCACAGCATTGTAGGGAGCTTCGAATCCCATGCTCTCGAAGGGCTTCTCTTACTCCAACGCTAAGGTGAAAGGTCAGTGTCCACGTTCGAGATTCGTATGTCAAATTCAGATGTGAGACTTACGTGAGTTGATGTAAATGAGCTGCATGGCCATGAACTTGGCGTACTCTGTGCCGACCCAGGCGAGATCTGCGTCCAGGAACTGCGGGTACCATGCTTGGACCATTTGCTTCCAGGCCGAGAGGATGCCGGTGCTCTTCAAGGCTGAGGGTTGACCGCCCGTGAGTAGGGTAAGGATCCGCTGGACCTCACCATCATCTTCGCTCTCGTCGAGGTTGAGCTTTCCGTCCTTGAAAGACGGGACCCAATCCTCTGCGCTGTGGATCAGAGGGCCGTTGTTTGGTTTGGGGGCATCTGAAGCCATATTTATTGATGAGTTCGATGGAAAATGGCAGTTTGATTGTTCTTGTGTGAGAAAGAAGGGGAAAGGAAGAAAGAGAAGAACAAGGAGAAAGCTGGAGGGGGTTTCGCAAGGGACCAGCCGGGACAGGACTCGGCAGGGCCCCACATGGGCGGTGCTTGGGTGGATGCCTTTTTCGGTCTTGGAGCCAATCAGCCGATGATATCGTCCGCCCGGTCAACAACATGCCTTACATACAGCAATCGGGCACCAAACTCGGCACAAATTTTCACCAACGAGTCACAAATTGATCAATATTTAGGACCTGAACCTGAGACTAGTCCTTCGTACCTTCCTCCTCCTTGAGTTTTTAGTTCTCGCGTGCCTGCCAAATTTGAGATAACTTACACGGCACCACACGCATCTTGAGTTTCTGAGAAGGGCAGGACGGGAGGAAGGAAGGGTGAAAGGAGAGGGTTGTAGCAAATACTTGATTCTGACCGCGCTTTAATGCTTCTTGAGTGAAAATGGCAATGGGTGCGAAGAGTCGAGTCCGTTTCGGACTTTCTACAGACAGCGGAGGCCATGTTCTGTGCAAGTGCTCTCTGTTTTATCAACTGTGTTCCAGTGAGTGAGCCCTTCTACAGACCGAGAACCAGCCTGGGCGTGCCATGCCCGTTCAACTTAGAATCCAAACAGATATTCAAGACGCGCCTCGCCCAACCGTTTGTTTAAAAAGATTTGCGCTAAGAGGAATCAAGCGAGACACTAGTTCAATATTTTGTCTTTGGGAAGGAGGTCGCGAGCTTGTTGATTTCTCTCCCTGTCTTTTTTTATTTGTTTTTCAGTTTTTCAGTTTTTTCTTTTAGTTTCCTCTTTCCACATCACACACCATCGCCAACCATCGCCAACAGCCGCAACAGGATGGTACAAGACAAACCCTCAAACCATCAACAGCATTCTGGCTCTAGAAGGAGTCCGCCTCCGCTTCACAGCACGCCTAAAGAAGGTCGATCTACAACACCCACTTGTCCCGAGGCTCTCCCAACGAGGGCGGCAGCAGATGAAGCTACGACGGACTGCAGACCTTGCACCAAAATGCCCGAGACCAGCACTCATCTAACCGTAGTACCTACCAGGGTTACAAGACCTAATAGCCCTGCAGACCAAGAAAGAAGCAGCCAACGCTTTCCAAGCCTGGCTAAAGACCGTACCAGACAACCACATGGTTGTCTTTTCAGATGGCTCCAGAGCAACAAACGGAGCCACAGAATACGGATCTGTCGTATACCGCAGCGGCAGGCGCGCGGCCCAGGGCTGCGGCCGACTGGGTCTAGCAGAGGTGTTCGGCACTGAGGCTGAAGGGGCGAGGATAGGACTCCGGTGGGCCCTCTTAATCTCCCAAGGCCAACCTATACAAATCTGCATCGACAACACCAGTGTCATTCAAGGAATACAGGGCGAGGCCCCAAACTCCTCGCAAGCTGCGGTGCTCGAGATCCAAGCTGCTGTTAAGATATACAACATCCACACCCACTGGGCGCCAGGACACCAGGGTATTAAGGGCAACGAAGAGGCGGACCAGCTAGCCAAGGAGGGTACAGCGCTGCCGGTCCCTCTAGGCCAGCTGGCTACGCTCTCCGAGATCAGACGGTTTGGTAGAGAGCGATTGCAAAATCAGTACAGACAGTGGTGGGGCAGAGAGGCGACAGAACGGTATACCTAGCTTGGCCTGAGGTTACACTTCTCCTGCCCTCCCGAACTCGCCCTACCACGGAGCACCCTCCACCACCTTTTAGCGGCCCGTTCAGGTCACGGGGACTTTGAACACTATCACCAACGCTTTAATCACACCGAAGCTTTGCTAACCTGCTCCTGCGGGGGGGGCGAAGGACGTAGATCATCTGGTCTATTGCCCAGCGACCATGGCGAGGAGGCAGCAGTGGCCCACCCTCTACCCAACTGGTCCGCTCGACCCCATAGGACCTATGGGATCCCTTGAACGATACTTCAAGGGACTAATGACTGACCCAAAAGGCTTTGAGGGCTTCCTCCGCGTGGAAATTTCTTCCGGAAGATCTGCCCACGCTACTAGGGAACGGGCTCCGGCACGGGACCTAGACAGCCAACTCAACCCTCAAACTGACCAGATGGGAAGCAATGAACTGGTGAACCAGCGGGAACCAGGGACAGATAGAACGCATAGTAGCCAGCAGGCAGGATTTGGAGGACGGAAGGAAGGGCGATGTATGAAGTACGTAGTCCTAGCCTACGGCTCTCCACGCCACATACCCCTCGGGAGGTCTGCGACAAGGGTTCCACCCTTGCCGCTATGGCGTTAAATACAATAACAACAACAACAAAAATCACTCTTTTCTTGACCTTCACCCTGACAATGGCGTCCCTGCTCTGACCAAATTACCCCGATTTTGCTGCTGCAAGTTGGTTCTCTTCTTAAGGTCAGAGTGCAGCCTCTTCGATGTTCTTGATATCTTTTTTTGCTCAATATCCGTGCTTCTTAAGCCACCCTACAAGGTCTGCTTCCGCCTTTACCCTAAGCTCGGCCCTCTTCTCATCGTCCAGTTTCTCGAGTACTGACGCGCTGGCTAGCCAGTATGGACACAGGAACCTCTGCAAGCGCATAAGGTCACGGATCTGGTTGACGCCGTCGATCTGGCTCGGAGCAAGAGCGACACTCTCCTGTAAAACCGAATTCCACGTTTTAGCAAGCTCCCATTCCTTGGCAGATTCCTTATCTAGGTCTGCAGGTGGCGTAGTGAAGTCGCCTGAGAGAATCGCCCGGTTGATCGCGGTGTCGTCGTCGCCAACATTTCCACCGGTGTGGCTGAAAGACATGGAGATGAACTCCTCAAAGGGGTGAGAAACGGAGGCGAAGTCGAAGTCAAGAACTGCTGTGACTTTCTTGGCCTTCTTGTCAAAGAGCATGTTGTAAATGGCTACTAGGGATCAGTTTGACGCTGACTAGACTCAGGACCAGAATACATACTCAAGTCTCCATGTGTTAGACACTTTTTGTGCACGTCAACAATACTAAGCACTTTCTCTGGGCCGCCGCTGGCGAGAAACTTTTCGATCCTGGCGGCAACGCCATTGCTTTCCCAGCCCTGGATAACTAAGCTTTCGGCAGCTTGTTTGAAGCGGGAACGCAGCTTTTCTATTCTCCACTCCGCGTATGAGCCAGTAGGTCTCACATCTTGCATAGATGACGACTCTCCGCTCACAATGGCGCCGTTCAAATCGAACTTGAGTCCGCTGCCAAACTTAGTGACGCTTTCCGGGAGATCTGCTGCTTGCATGGCCCCAAGAACGGCAGCCATCTGCTCCAAGACATGCTTCTGACTCTCCACGTCAAGAGAGGAGAATTCCGGACCCAGATCAACGCCGCTCCGGAACTCTGACATGATCCACCCGAACCCCTTCTCGTTTGCTTGGTTAGTAGTCGTGGCAGGCGCCCAGGCGTAAACATCCGGTACCAGTGGAGCGAGCCCGCTCTTTTCCATGGACTTACGAACAAGGTGCTGTGAAGCCACGTCATTCTCTACGCGGTTGGTATTGTTCACGTCGTGGGCCGCGAGGTTGCTAAGTTTGATGACCAGCGTGGAGATGCCTTCAGGCGGAGCTTTGCACGTGCCAGGTTGAGTACCCGGAAATGATGATGCGAAGGCGGGCGTAGCTAGCTCTACTTTGAAGAGGAAGTTGTTAAAGGGATATGCGTACTCTTCGTCATAAGCCAGGGTCGAGATGATGGAGGCCTGCCGGCAAGTTGGAAAAGTTACCCAGTTAGTGAGAGAGAAGTTGATGCATGGCAGTACTGATCACCAACCTGAAGCCCGCGGCCGTGGAGGAGTTGCTGAACCACAGAGAGCCGACGTTCAAAGCCGGCGTGGTTTACATTGACAACCATCACAAAGCTATGGCCTTAACAGCGACACTGGAAAATGTGATGAGAAGGTAGAGAGTCGTAGATCGGGGAAGGGCAAGCGGAGTTGATGCACAGGAAGCTGGTTTCGTAGAGTTTGACTGGGAATGATTTGGAGTCATGTATGTTGTTGAAGTCCTAATCTAGCCGCTAATTTAGATGATCCTCAGCATTTAATCGATAGCCCCTATCACAGTGCGGAGTATGGCCGACACGAACCAGCAGCATTACGAAGGATCTTCTAGAACTAACTGTATCTCCAACATGCATATGTAAAAAGAAATGACTGTCCCGAAAGCGGATCGCAAGGCTCCTAATCAGGAAGGAGGTTACATGACAGAGAGATAACCCCTTACACAAATCCTCCTTACCCAACAGATAAAGAATATAGAAGAGCATTCTTAATAACTAGACAAATTCTATGCCTTAATCTAGCCTGTAGTAAACTAGAGTATAGGAGTGAACATTATAAGGCAAAGTCATGATTTGCTTATGAATTAAGTCTCGAGGTTAGGACCACAAAGGCCGAAAATTGACGATAGTGACTTAGTGGATCCCTATACCCTTGTAATCGACGGTGTCAATGGGCTCTTTATTCAGATCAGGATTTGTTAACTCACGCCAGTGGGTATACTCCTGTTGGTGTGTATTAGTAAAACCGAATCTCTTGAGCGAAATCTTTTCTGGAAAAAACCTAGGATTACTTACTAGACAGTGTATGGCGTGTACATTCATGTCGCGGGTCATCTTGTCGCCGTGGCCAGTAATATGCTAGGCGAGCATCATCTGCAGGTTCGCGAGGCAGTGGAGCTTGTGGTAGGTGCTCTGCGTGAAACCAAACCCGTTCGACTGACCTCCCTCGATGAAATTTGGCTTGCCTGCGGGCTGGTCGGCCGTCCAGAATTCGCCATGCTTCATTGAAGACTGCCAGTACTCGTTTACGTACTCGTCGCTGTGCGAAGCGGTCTCCTTGACCTCTTGCATGGTGATCTCGGGCTTGCCAAGGACGCGGTGAGCGATGTTGATTCTTTCGACGGCTCCTAGCGCCAGACTGTTGCGGTCCAAAAGACTATCGTAGACGTCGTCACGGCGCTGGTTGACAGTCTTGCTGAATATGACATGGATGGATAGCAGAGTCGGGGAATAGCATGGGCTATGCATTGGACCGCGCACACGGGTCGCCCCAGATCGGCGGTGTCTTGACACGGACAAACTTCTCGGAAGTGAAGAGTCAATCGAAGTGCGGCGCAGCATATTTACAGAAGAGGCGTTATCGGAGAGGCAGCGCTCTAGGAAATAGAAAAAAAAAGGTTAACTCTGGCCAGAGCCGCGAGGGGGACACAGGCATACTGAGGCAGGTACCTAGGTAGCAGACCTGGAAATCGGCCCCACTCTCTGGCCTCTTTCCTCAAGCAACTTCCCCGTTACATCTCACACGACCGAGAGATAGACGCCAAACAATTCCTCATCATCAAATCGAACACAAAATTACAATGGCGGGTTCAGAATTAATCTGGCCCGAAGAATGGACCGACGAAGGGAAGCGTCTCGAGACGTAGTACCAACGCGATGAAAAGGTGCTGCTGGCACACGTGGAAACCCCCAGCAAACGGCAACGTCGATCGAGTGGCCAAGGCAATCCATGCCATGGCCGTCACAAAAGCCTCGCAGGAAAACACTAGTCAAAAGACGATGCGTTTCAATGAGAGTCGAGCCACATCTGAGCCAGCCAACACCGAAACGGCTATATTTACATCAACCTACCTCGAGATGGAAGTCGTGGTGAATGAGTTGCAGAGTTTCGGTCATCAACTCATTCTCCTGGACGCTGATGAGAGATTAACGCTCTCATACGCTTCTACGATTCTAAAGATCGCGAACATCATATCCGAAGGGCCGACAGCGAACACGTTACGCGTGGTGTGGCTGTCAACTCTGCCTGTTGGCCCCGTCTCGGCAAGATGCTAGCCACATTCACCAGCAGCAAAGAGACGTCCATGGCTTCATTCAAGTTGCCACGGCCAGAAAGCCAGATTGCGCTGGAGGATCTGGACTTGATCTTTTATTCGGGGTCCGACACGGAGTATCAACAGAAAGTAGCGGATCGACTGTCGCAGGATTACGGACGAAACCGAGATGACGAGAATGGCCGCGACACGGGATATAAGACGACCAAGACGGTGGTGTTCTACAATACGAAGAGCAGGTCAGACCACTCGAGTTATATGGTATTTATTGAGGCCTTGCGAAACTGCGCCGGCGACACATTCGATGTATTCGAATCGACCCTCAGACAATCCACAAGCGATCGTGGGCTGGTCTTAACCGTAGGTGGGGACCCGCGATCCGCGATGGGACTGCTTGAAGGTGCGCGGCACATGGTTCTGCACAAGACCAGAACGAAGGACGTACGCGATCGCCAGACGACGCTGGTTGTCAAAAGAGCATCACTGTTGCCAAGAGATAAATGGCGGGCCCAGATGGAATGTGCACTCGCCGAAGGGATCAACCCACGGCACGTCACTATACACTCGCAGCTATCTCTGGAGGAGATAAGGAGTTTGGAGCCACCGCGAGAGTTTGAAGAGCTTCACCTGGATGCTTTCATCATCGGCGCAATGGAGCGATACCCCAGTATGAACATCAGGCGGCTGACAGACTGCTTCGTACACAACTTCGAGATGTTCAGAGTCACGATCAAGCGTCTTCAGGTCTTGGGATTAGTCCGAGGCAGAGAAATCTCACTCGGCGCCCTCGACTGGCAGCTGAGACACGAGCGTGCGCTCAACGCCGCTCGACTTCTCTCAGTCACGCAAAACAACGTGTCAGCCGCCACATTCTTGTCTTTTATTGACGAGAATACGGATCCAAGGACGCGTGCAGCCATGATCGACATAGTTGCAATCATTCTTGAGTCCTCCGGCCGTTACGACTTCCTGAAAGTCGCCCATGTCTGGCCCGAGTCCGCCGGCATGGCATCCATCCTCAGCGAGTGCCGCGATCCCTCCCACAAGACCATCATGGATGGGGCCATCTGGATGAACCTGGGCGTGTACCGTTTGTACATGTGTATGTGCCGGGGCGGGGAAAACGAGCCCCTGATCGAAGCCGCCGATGGCCTCATGTTAATCTCCCCGAGAAGATGTGTGGTAATATACGAGAAGGCACAGGAGATTACCCGGTTACTCCAGGTGTTGGTGGCTCAGCGAAGGGGTACAGGCGGAGCGACGTCAACCGTGAAGCTCCCTGAAGACCAGGTCCTCTCATCCAGAGATACATGGTGCTCGCCTGGGCACACCACCTGAATGTCGCATATGGCCGTGTCAGGTTCGCCACTGTCGTGACTGGCGGTGATATGTCACTCGAACGAGAAGACGGAGCCTTCGTCTACCGATTTATCCCAAACAGGCTTTTCCTCACTTTCAAGGTGAGAGGGACAGAGCCTACGGGAAGCGTTGGATGTCTTGCAACCCTCATTCCTACGAGGGTCGTGATGGAGGCTTTCAGGGACTCCGGGATCGACCTCGATGACCTCAGGGTAAACTCTTGCTGAGATTAGCTATAACAGGGTTACTTACTAGAAGAAATGGAAAAGGGAGCATCAATCAGTGATGTTCTTTGCGGTTCACAATCAGAGAATCCTGCTTGCGTGACATGTATACATAAGTGATACGTAAAACTGGTATGTTATGTGCTTTCAAGAAGCAAGCTTCTGTGTCTGTTACCGTCCAAGCCGGACTTGAAGCGTACAGCATGTCTCTAGCTGTCAATTCTCACTAGGGTCCTTCAAGAGAAACTCCCTAGCCGGGTAGGGCCAACGCAAAGTATTTATCAAGAAATCTTTGCCGCTCCAGTGCCACGGTCATGTATTACCCGTGGCTCATGTGTCCACCGAGGCCTCGTACAAAGCACTCTGGTCGAGTTCACGTGCCTGGACTTGATGGGCATGCCAACAAAATGATAGTCAGGAAAGATTCAGAGGGAACACACGGTGCTGACTGAGGTGGGAAGTCCAGGGACCTTGTAAGTGTCGTTGGCGAACTACTAGTGTTCGTCTAGGTAGCCTCTGAGGCTCTTTCAGGCAACCAGGTACATACACATGTGATTAAGGGGTCAATTTGCTCCGCACTCTGATGATTTAGGCCGGCGATTCTTGCTAATGTGGTGGCTCTCTGAATTCGCAGCAACCAGTAAGTTCTCTTAGAAAGTGCGATAGCTTTCTTCGACTTTGATGATGATGATGCTACCTTCAGGAACAAGGTTGATGAGACACTTTCTCAAGCAAACCCTTCTGCTTCCTTTTTGAATCTGCTACCACCTACGTGGATCTAATACTCATATCCATCCTAATTTTTGTTCTACAGTGGGGGTCTCTGTTCCACCTAGCACGGGAATTATTTGGTGAACGAGGCTCTATCAAATCATCATTCACATCATCCTTCGCGTGCAGATATGCGCATAAGGTACGATGAAGAAAGTGGTCTCCTCCTGTATTCGATCGATGTTGGGAAATTAAGAACCCAGTGTTATGGTGTGGCCGATGGGGACGACCGACTTCAGTCATAACGAGCAAGCGGGATCCACCAAAAGAGGAGGACAAAGTCAAGGAGAGGATGAGATTACAAGTCCACCAAGTGAGAGAGACAACTGGAATGAAAAGATTATAGACGTGATAACAATTGTGAAAGGAAATCGATGGACCTGTTAGCTTGGCTTGGAATGGTCCTGGTGAGGCCCAGTTCGGCAACGTACCCAGGTCTCCCTGCGCCATCACCACCTCTCCACCCCCATCCAATCTCACCAATCCCATTTTCCGAACACACTCGGACCCGAAGCTCCCCTGCCGATTACCTTTCTTGTTACTTCGAAGCATAAGCTTCTCAGGGCTACCGCCTTCATGGCCGCAGTGGCAACCAGGGTCTGCAACCACTAAAAACGAGTCTAGCTTATCAGTCATAAATTGGTGGACTACAGCAACTCACCTTCTAGGGCTTCTCAAGTCCCTTGGCATATGTCGGCGCCTTGCGTGTGTGAATGGCTCGTGGTTCGCCAATCCGCCGCTTGCATTTCACTTGGATTTCCCTTCTATTCTGCAGCCTGATCTCAAGCAATTAACAACAGCAGAAAATCCCCAGGACAAGGAAGACGGCGAGGCCGACAACTGTGGTATCTTCTCACTAAGAAGACAGAAACCATTCTATTCACGGGTTTATTGCGCCTTTGACGCAGTTTTCGGCATTACCACACCTTGCATACCCTGCATGCCACATTTATCCTCTCTTGCACCCTTTTCTCCTCCAGTTTTGACCTCTTTTGACGAACGATGGAACTCACCCACCCACGTCGACCAGACTTTCCCTACCTGGCCTCAACACCCAACTGTTGATGGAAAAGAAGGGGACACTGCCTATTCCCTATAGACCTTCGCATCACTTACCGGCGATGGTCATGTCCATTGATGAACCAAGAGAACCCCAGTCTAGCGAAGAGTTTCCATGTGATGCGCCCGACTGCAGGTCTAGCCCATTCCCTTCCATGGCCAACCTCAAGCGACACGTCAAATCCGCGCATGGTCCGCAAGTGTCAATGCCCATGTCGCAGATTACTTGGAAACTACTCGTACAACATCCAACGCCATTGGAAATCATGTCGCATGTGTCGCAAAAAGGTTAAAATCGAAGGGTCCCAAGGCAGCAAACCCGATCACATCTAAGTCGTCACCCAAGACGTCTAAGTCATCCGGCGCCATTCGGCGCCTACAACGCACCAACCCCATACCATGACTCGAACTACCATGTTGGCGGTCGTCTGATTACGTACCTTGTAGCTCTCGTAGGGCCATCCCAGTCGTAAGTGAGGGCAGCTCATGCTAAGCTCTTTTACATTAGCTGCCTGGCCAGTCAGACTGACAGATTGCCGGACTAGTGCCGTCAGGCGCACAAAGGGCGATGTTTTACTCACAGAAGGGGAGGCTGGAGCTGGGTAGGGAAACAAGGTGCATGATAAGGCAACCAGCAACTCGGACACATATGCCATAAGTCTCCTACCCCGAGCTGCCACAAACTCGGGTACCTTCTAGGCTAGCGCATCGACAGGATTAATTTACGAGTTGACGAGGCTCCGAAATTAAACAAAATCTAGAGAACAGACACCAACGACCATGGTACATATTTTACGCCCCAAGGGCTTATTTGGGGACACAAACTAAAAGATGCATTGTTCTCAGGGACATACCTTGCTCTAAGTAACCCCGTATGTGTCCGCAGAGGTCCAGCGTAGTGGTGTACATGAATAACCGATTCCACTCAAGAGACGAAACCGAAGACAAAAGAAGAGAGAGAATCGCGCAGGCTGGTTTGAATCAATGACTTGCCCATCTGCCTCTGGGCACAACTGAAAGTTGTGACAGTGATTCTTACGGAAACATTCGCCTGTTTGGGCGCTATAGATAAACATTGTCCTCAGGTGTGAATCGTCTCGGTCTTTCCAGCAGGCTGGGAGGTTGGGTGCCGTGGAAGTGAAAATGAGACATACCTTATCTAAGAATCTAGATATTTTCCTCCATCGGCGAGTCAGTGAAATGCGAACGTGTGTGTGAGAGTGTTCGACTCATGCCCCGTTTCTGGGTAACAGTTCCTCCTCCTCAAACTATCCCATTAGCTGCTGCAAGACGCCATGCGGGATACGACAAATAAGAATTTTTGCACACAACTCGTCTGCCCAATAAAGAGCAACAATTAATGTGAAGTTGGAGATTGTATGGAACTGTTCCTTTCTGGCGTCTTGCCGCAGTCAATGAGACATGAGGGGCACGCGTCCGGTTTGAAGGATCTTGGAGACTGTGATTCCCCTCAAAGTAAGCGCATTCTTATACCAAGAAACCCCTTCCCTCTCTGAGTTAGTCTCTTTGTCTCTTGTGAAACCTTTTTCTTTCTTTCCTGTTGATCACTGCCTTCCGGTCTGGCGTCATCCTTCCCCGAGTCGAGCGCCCTCTGCCTACCACGTGGGTGACAAAACAAAGTGCAGTGTATCACAACTTCTTAATACGTGTGTGTGTGTGTGTGTGTGTGTGTGTGTGTGTGTGTGTATGTGTGTATTTTTCACGCCGGTACTATCTCTCCTGGAGTAATGGGCGCTTGAGATTCGTATTGTATGTCCTATTGAGGAGGTTGGTGTGAGATCCGATTCCAGCTGGAAGGCTGGTGACACGTCTAGAACCAATTGATAGGTAGACATGGAATTATGGAGTACCAATCGTTATGTGTCGGAGATTGAGAAAAAACCTGTAAAATCCTGTCAAAGACCCCCAAAAACTTGATATTTCAACAGGTATACTCTTTTTTAGAATATTTTGCTTCCTAGGGAGTAAGATGTTGCAGAGCCCTTAGATAGGGACACAGCAGTACTTTAGGTGTGCCACATGCCACTCGCTCGCTCCTTCCAGGTCACGCAATTCTCAGTCTATCTCACCTTCCCGTTCGTGCCATACCTATCCGCCCATCTACCTCTGTAAAGCGAAAGCTCATAGCCTAGATTCATTCCCATCTTGACAGAGGCAAGAGGTCCCACGTCCTAGCCCGACCCTCGACCGCGCGCGTGTACTACGTATTGTATGTATACTGCTCACGTACCTCCATATGGAGACCGAAAAAATGCCCACCGAAAGACTGCCTGTGAGGTAACCCTGGATCAGGTACAGGTCTTCTCGGGCCCCACGGGCATCATGCCGGGCCCACACCGGCGCCCCCCGGTGCCTCTCCGGCAGTACCCTCCGGTCCTAACAGCCGCATCTAGCTGAATCTCTCTTACTCATTGGACAAGTGGGAATCTACACTGGACATGCCATAATTCGCTGCCCTTCCGATCTTAGTTCGAGTTTGCTTCCGCGACCCAGGCAACGAATGACGCGGTCCTGGTGGACTGTCCAACCCAGCTTGGTATGGACTGTGTCCAAGGCGACGCCTAAACTCGATATTTGTTGGCTTCTCTTGGCATCTTTGACTGCCAACCCGCTGATATCCGAATAGAGCCTGATAACTAGCCTCGGCCCAGCCTCGTTGTCGCGGGTAGATAACGTTCTTTTCAGTGACCTAGGTGGAGGCCCTTCTTTGATGAAAGAGTATTGAGGAGCAGCGGATTAACTTGATATATAACTCTGGTGCTTTCCGCGTTGTCTTGTTCCATCGATTATGCCCTGTCATACTGCCTTCCCTCCATCCATATCAGCCGCTCATTCCTGGCCTAGCTTTTCTCCATCCTCCGTTCGTAACCCAAGAACGTTACGTGTCTCAACTGGCTTACACGA